AATCCCCTAATCAACTTTGTTGCTCTTCTATGCACTCTTTCTAAAGTCTCAACATCTTTTTATATTGTGGTGACAAAAACTGAAATATTTCAAGTGTGGTCTTGCAATGGCATTGTAAAGTGGTACTTACACTTCAGTGATCTTGATTCTATCCCTCTGTTAATGCAGCCTGGGACTGTGTTGGCTTTTTTAGCACTGTAGCACACTGCTGGCTCATACTTAAGAAATTGTCCACTAGGATTCCAAGATTTCACTCACAGTTACTACTATTGAGTTAGGTACCACCTATTCTATACCTGGGCATTTTTTTTCTTGCCTAAGTATAGGACCTTACTTTTCTCATCACTGAATTTTATTTTGCTAGATAAGGCTCAGTGTTCAAACCTGTCAAGATCCTTCTGTATCTTGAGCCTATCTTCTAGAGTGTTAGCTATTCTCGCCAGCTTAGTGTCATCTACAAATCTGATGAATTCTGCTTCTATCCCCTTGTCTAAATTGTTTATGAAGCTATTGAATAGCACTGGGTCTAAGACAGAGCCTTGAGGTACTCTGCACATTGAGAGCAGTTGGTAAGCCAATTATGAATCCATCTGGTGGTGATGCTGTCTGAATCACATTTTTGTATCTTAACAAGTAGCAGGTTGTAGTCTACTTTATCTATTACCTTACTGAAGTCCAGGTAAAAGACACCTCCAAATTCTTTGGCTGCTATCTAAGAATTTGGAATTAGTAATGTGCAGGGCTTTTTTTCTCATAGAACGCCCAGAACAGAGTTCCGGCACCTTTTTTGGATGGAACCTTGTAGGATAGGCAAGGCGGGTTGTATGACGTGTGTGAATTCAGGCACCTTTTTTTTTTTTTTTTTTTTTTAGAAAAAAAGCACTGGTAATGTGCATGGCTATAACCACTGTAGAAATATCAACTATTTCTTGTTAACTACCTAATTAAGACTTCAATTTTTCCATGTGATCATATCATAGAATTCATGATCACCTGGTAGCTGCAAACCAGCTTTCAAAACTTCCTTACATTCTTCATTGAGATGAGTAATGTTACATACATGTAAACTATTTTCCACTTTCTACTGCAATTTAAAAAACAAAAATTGCAAGAACTAATTTGCAGAAAACATTTCCATGTATTTTTTACTACTCATTTTTGCAGTTTGATAAAAGAGATTGCTCTGAAAGAGTTGGGTAGAATGTGCTTCTTTAGTTATAAGATTGGTAAAGGGTTTCTATGAATGTTTTTATAATGTCCTTGTATAAAAAAGCTTGTTGTTTAATTAACTCCCTCTTCTGCTTCCTCACTTCCTTCAGTTAAATTCTGAAGGAAATCATGAAGTACAGTTGTCATTGGACAGTGTCCAACTAGAAATCACGGGTCTTAAAGCTTTCAGAGTTCTGTAAAGATTTGTACTTTATATACTTGCAGATAAGCCAAGAATTTTAAGTGCCAATATCCACTCAAAAATTGAGTTTGGCTTATCCACTGATGGCCTTATATATAGTAACTGAACATAGCAATATCAACAGTAGCATTCTTTTCCCCCTTCAACTGTATTGTAAGGTCAAAAAGAGAAATTTAACATAGCCTCTCTTAAGCACTCTGATAATACATTTTGTGAATTTCTCACCTCTTTCAATTTTTGTTACCTTGTATTGAAACAGGGATAAATCCCATCTTTCAGTTAAGATTCCCTCCTCACAACAAACCACCTACTACCCACTATCTTTCGACCAGCATTTGCACATTTTCCCACTTTCTACTTGCTTTAGAAAACATTCTATTTGCTCTAGTTTTTTACCATTTGTGTATATAACTAGCAATTGTTCTCTCTATTTTTAATGCTGCTGGCTGAGAACCCAAATGATTTGCAGCAAACATTAGATGGGACTATCTGATAGGGAATATGAACCTGAAAATTTATATAGCCAACTCTCTCAATTTTCAGATCCATCTTCCATGCTGGATTATACAGTCTAAATTTACTGCAAATCATTTGGGTTCTCAGCCAATAACCCAGCATTGTCTGTATACCAAAGTACATGTATCTTCATTGCACAAATCACCTTACACCTTCGCAAACATTTCTTCCACATTTATTCATAAATCATCAGGAGGACATCACTATTCCTGAGCTTACTGGCTCAGCATTCTGTTTATTCTCATGAATGCTTTATTTCCATCATATCCTACTCTTATACCATTTAGCAATCAACTTAACATCCATACATGTTCAAAAACTTCCATAGTTTTAGCTGGGTAGTTCTTTCTCTAAGTCAACAAATATTCAATAAAGAATAACATTTTTAAAAAAAACAATCTAACATTATTTTTCATTTTACTACATGTGAAGGACAACTTAAGTAGTGAAACTCCGTGTGAATATGAATATATTACCATTGTCACAGTTTGCCATGAATACTGTACTCACAGCCATTTGTCCGTGAAAGTGAAATCTGTGAAATGAAGAAATCTGGAAATAAATTACTATCATTCTCTTAATGTACAAAGCCGAAAAATGATTCAGGGTGAACAAAGTCAGGCAGTGAATATGTTGTCTCTCCCTTTTATTTATTGATTATTGCAACGTACTGATTTTAGCTATGCAGTGGGATAGGTATTTGCACAAATTATTTTTTTCCGCTTTTGAAATCTGCAGGTTTTTTAAATTACGCAAATAGTTCCTAGCTCACTCAATTTTTATTTTTCTCTATATTCCTCTGTAAGACAACATTGCCCTCTTGTGGCTTTATAAAAAGCATTGGTTTTGCTTTGCAATAACCTGTCATAACTTGAACAGACAATAATGTTTTTGTTTTAAAGGTTCCCTCTATAGCAGAAGCAAAGAGATAAGGGGAGATAAAGGGATCTCTTCTATTTGTTTCACTTTAACTATTTGGCACTTATTGTGTTATATTAAATAGAGGGAATTAGAAAAGCACATTTCGTTGGCTTGGCTGGAAAATTAGTCATTATTAAGTCACTATTTTTATTTTATTTATTCAATTGATGGGGCACTCCCATTAGGTGCAGTAAACTAGGTAGGAACTCCTGCTTGCATTATAGCCATTGAAGCATTACATCTACATCTTGTTTGTAATAAAATCAATGGAATATTAAATACTGACTTTGGATGTTCAAAAATTCCCTTTTTCATTTGTTAAGGATGAAAGCAGGAATTATCTCTTTATTGATTTGCATATTACAACTCCTGGAGAACCAGCCTGGAAAATAACATTAACGCATTAAATCTTGCTTATGAGACCACCAGCTTTGGCTAAGTGGCAGTTGATATCTGCATCAAAGAACATCATAACGTGGCAAAGGAAGGTAGAGTAAGACTGAAGAAAATAGAGGTTTTGGCCTATTAAATGGAATATTATACCATTAAACAGATGTTTGAATGGTTAAGAAAATGGATAACTGTTAGAAATAAAAGTATTATTATAATTAGAAGGATAGGATTTGTAACTAGAATATTATATTTTGTTATGAGGTGGGAAATATGAAAATTCTAAAAGCATTTGAATAAGGGAAGCCTTTGGTTACCCAAATATAATTTATTATGAGAAAATTATAATAGCAAACTATTAGAAATCCTGAAACAAGGGGGACTAGATGACAAAGACATCCAAATCATATTGGCATCAGGTAGCAAATGTGAGACTAGGCCAAAAATACTCAGCTGATGCAGAAATACGAAGAGGGGTCAGACAGGGATGTATTCTGTCTCCGCTGTTGTTCAATATCTACTCTGAGTCAATCTTCAATGAGGCACTGGAGAACATCGATGCTGGCATCAAAGTAAACGGTGTTTGGATCAACAATTTAAAATATGCTGATGATACAGTTCTGCTTGCCAGTAAGCATGAAGACCTTCAGCTCCTCATCAAGTGTCACAGAAATATCTGAAAAATATGGCTTGAAACTTAACACCTCAAAAACCAAGATCATGGTCATCAACAAACAACCCGTTAATTTACCAATAAATTCAGAAGGAATACCATTAGAAAAAGTTGAAAGGATCACGCACCTCGATTCTAATTTACATGAAAGCTGGGACATGACCACTGAAGTAAAGACAAGGATAGAGAAAGCTCAAACAGCATTCTTCAAAATGAAAAAGGTCTTCTGCAGTCACAACATAACCCTAAGATTGAAAATCAGGCTTGCCAGATGTTATATTTTTTCTATCCTGCTCTATGGAGTAGAGTTGATCTCTGACAGAAGGCCACCTGAAGAGACTAGAAGCATTTGAAATGTGGATTTACAGGTGATTGGTACGTATAAGCTGGGTTGACAAGATTGAAAATGAGGTGATAAGCCACCTGGGAAAGCCAAGGGAAGTCATCAAAACAATTAAAAAATGAAAGTTAAAATATTTCTGACATGATACGACACCCAGAAAAATACGGCCTACTCCATTTAATCCTCCAGGGAAAGATTGAAGGCAAACGAGGTCCAGGCAGAAGAAGAAGATCATAGCTTCAAAATCTAAGGGACCGGTTTAGACAAAACTCAGCAGCACTTTTTCGTGCAGCTGCTGATAAAAACAGGATCGCCAACATGATCTCCAACATCTGATAATAGATATGGCACAAGAAGATGAGAAAATTATAAGCGATAGAGATACTTTGAACATTGAGGGGAAATTAAAAAATTTTAAAAGCGGGAAAAACAGGATATTGATTGAACAAATGGATTTTAAGTGCAAATGCAATTGAGATATGTTTTGACTAGAAAAGATATTATAAACTGACACTATCGATATTATGTACAACGCCAGAAAAATGTGATGAAGATGTCTATATTTAATTGCATATGTATTAACAGTAACAAGAATTACCACCGAATTAACAATGAACTCAGACAACACGTTGTTTATTAAGTACTTATAATTGTAAAATTAGAAAATTAATAAAATACTTTTTAAAAAAGAAACAGGAAGCATGCCAGACATTTTACTGGAATGATGACCAGAGATTTAATTTTGATTGATTCTGAATTGTATTATTTTATTTTAAAATACAAATCCAAAAATGTGAAGTAAACCTATACACAAACAAAAATGGTTCAGTAACTTAAAAAAAATTACATAATATTTATAACTCTTCTATTGTCTATCTGAACAAGTTTACAACAGAAAACACAAGAACCAATCTGTATAAATTTCTGGGAAACCTTTGCACTCTGAAAATTGAGAAAGTATGAAAAACCAACACTAGAATATAATTATTTTTCAAAATGCCTTAAGCTTCATTTCAGCTAATAAAATACGCTGGATGTGTCAATGCTTTCCACCACTGAATATTCAGAATTACTGCAGTAGTTTCACTATATAAGCCTGCCATTTGTCAGTTTCTGTTGCTGTGAAATAAGATTGGCATACCTTTCTAGTAATATATGTTATTTGTTAGCGTTAATTTTTTGAAAACCATTCTACATTATAACCCCTGAACTTTTTTCCCAATGGAATTTAATTTAATAATTGCAAAGAAAGAGGGGGAGAGAGTGACATTATTTGTATTTAAAGAACAAAGCCCATGTATTTCACAGACTATTCAAAATATTTATAATACTATGAAGTGGACATCAGGAAAAAGATTTTTTGAATTATGTAGATAAAATGGTTGATTTCTATTAATTCCAAATGTGAGAACATATATAGCAGTCATCTGTTGAATCTGCTTTACGTATCTACAATAATAAACTCTAGAGGAATCCTCTCCATAAGGAATGCTTTTATTTGGCCCCAGAGATTAGGTGTCCTCAACAATTATAAGTTTTAAAGTATTTTGAATTCTATTTTATTCACTTAAAGCTAATAAAAAGATGCTCTAAAAATGACCCCTTTAACTATTCAATAAAAATGCAGATGGAACATTATAGTCAAGCAGCTTGACTCCCCAAGCTTGTAAAGAGGAGAACCAATATCAAGTGTAAAAATGAAATGCATCTTCCCTTATCTGCAATAAACAAGGTACAGTATCCCTTAAAGTGCATTGCTGAACAAATCAGTGAATTCTATTATTACTGCTATGCAAAAAAGCAATACAAGATTGTTTTTACATGTTCTACTCTATAAAGGTGTAAATAATACACAGTAGCTGAAATTACAGTCTTTTATAAATGAAAGATGTTTTCTGTATCATTAAATTTAAAAATGTTACATACATTTTCATAAATGCTGGAAAGTTTAAGAAATCAGTCATTGGCTGGTGTTAAAGAAAAGGATTTTTAGAAATGCTATTGTCAGAATGTCCTTTAAGGCTGAGCGAGAGAGAAAGAGACAGAGAAGTAATCACTTTTCTTGACATTTTTTGGCAAGAGATATAAAAGAAAATTATCTGTCATTTCTAAATTTGAATGCGTATATTACACTAAAGTCAACTCATTCAATGTTCGCTATTGCACTTCTGTATTCCTTTGAACACACTTACTTCAACACAGTAACAATGATTTGCAATATAACCATGGTAAAATATAGTATTCCATCTCGGTGACATGAAAAATGCCTGCTTGTTTAAAAACTTGCTTAAGAGAATGCAGACCATCCTTACTGTTATCTGAATACACTTTTATTCACTTATATAAAAATGTTATAATTCTCATCAATACAAATTTGTCAGGGAGCAAAAAGATTTATCATGCAAACTCTTAATTAATGCTATACACTGCTGTGAAACCCATTTCTAGTCAAGTTAAAACAATATTTCCTGGGGGGGGGGAAGGAAAGGTAACAAAATAGGATTTAAAATAGGAAACTACTGCTGAATCCAAGTCCTTATAGCAAAGTTAAGACAAGTTATGTTTTGATTCATCACAGTTCTAAAGCCTTGCTGAAAGATTACTGTACTTAAGTAAATGCTACATTTCAAGGATTAAGAAAATATCAAGTAGGCATTATTATTTTACTTAAAAGCAAAGGTTATTTTTCTCTGTAGTATGTCAAGTAGGCTTTTAGAGATTGAGGGAGTGGTAGACTCATAATCTTTTCCCGCAATAAGTTTCGTGGAGGTTGCTCTGTTTTCAAGACTTCATTTTGATCTTTTTCATCATCTTCTTTGTGGTCTTCCTCCATCTTTTCATCTTCTTCACTATCTAGAGGTTGAGGAATGAGTTGATTGCCAACAAACACATAGGTATTAATCCTGCGTCTACGACACCTTCTGCGTTTACGTTTTGGTGGAGGTTTCTGTATAATACCTTTGGTTTGCATTTCATCATTTACATAGTTTCTAAGGGTGCGTCTAATGTAGATCCGAGCCAAATCCTGTAGATTCCTAACAGCACAGGGAGCTATAAAGAGAAAAAATTAAATTAAACAAGTCATGGTACTTAAATTACACCATAAATTGTTCTGAAAAAGTGAATCATTAAAAACATTGAACTAAATTAAATATGTAAAGGCAACAATCACTTTTCTGGCATGATTTCTTAATAACTTTGATAAAGGATCTTGGAAGGCAGTGTTTTCCGTAATTTCTTCCAATGGCTTCTTTTGCTCGTTGTATATTATTAAGCCAGACACCATTATGAACATTTTGAAAGGAGTCTCCCTATATTCCAAATATTTTTAAATATGAGGGATCCTTGGTGTTCTTTGAGCTTGCTTATTTTCTGCAGGGTGCACCAAGGACCCCTCATTTCAACCCTGAGCTGCAAATATTCTCCTTTATTGGTATTTTAAAATATTTTTAAAACTTGTGTCCAATATAAAAAAGTTTGTAATAACATGCTTCATCCAACAAAAAATTGGAGATCACAGAACAATGAACTATAGAAAATTATAATAAATCACATTTAACTTGAGAAATGTTTAAAAATTTACACTTATCATTTATTTTCAATCATCACTTTTGCCTACTATCTACTTGCAATAAATTAATTTTACCCTGGCAGAAGAGGCATGCTATGGACTCCATCAGCCAAGGAACTTCAGCTGGTGGGGACCAGAAGAACTTTTTCTGCGATGGCTCCCTCTGGAACTTCATGCCCCTTGACGTCAGATCGGCCCCCACCCTCTTGGCCTTCCATAAGACTCTGAAAACCTGGCTCGGCCAAGTAGCTTGCGGCCCTGCTGGGATTGTCCCTTGCTGGAGATGATTAGTAGACTGAAAAGATCCCACCTCTACCCTGTTCATGCATTGGTCCCTATTTTACCCAGTTTTTGTTAATCCTTAATCCTCTTGTTTTTAATGTTTTAATATTTTATATTACAATTTTATGATGTTGTAAGCTGCCAAGTTGCTTGACAGTGAGATGGACAGCATATGCATTTAATACATAAATAGACAGACAGTTTGGCTATTTAACTCAGAAAGAAATAGGTTGATTGCAGGCAATAAACCAGAAGACTGTAAGTTTTATTTATGCCTTAGGCCTGAAAGTCAGCTGGGCCAGTCATTCTTTCTCAGTCCAACTCACCTCACAGGGTTGTTGTTGTAGGGAAAGTAGGAAAAGAAAAGGTATTAGGCCTGTTTACCATACTGAGTTATTTATAAAAATAATAAAAGCAGGATATAAATAAAATAAATAAAGTTTATTCTGAAATTTTATTATTTTTACAAACAGAAATAGGCAAGAATAGGATACAGGAAGTTATATCGCAATATGCCATCCATTAAATTATGTTTTAAGCAACTAAATTGTATTTAATTCACATATCAAAGTATTGTTAGCAACCAAATCCCAGTAACAATGAATTTATAAATTGTTTTTACCCAGAAATAAGTTAAATTTACATGGTACACTACTCTCCCTTATCAGCAATCCCTAAAAACTTTTGTCAGCACATCAGTTGACTCAACCTAGATGAGTTAACTCAGCCTAGATTTAGAAAATTAAGATTCTAAAAACAAAACCACAAAATGGAATTAGTAACAAGATGGAGTATAGATCTGGTATCCTAGTCAGCTAAAGTTGTTCAGCTTAAGGGAGAAAATATTGCAGATAGTTGTTAAGCTGGATGGGCTGATTCCAACGGATTGTTTGCATAAATAGAAGACACATTCATAAGATTTATTATCAATCTCCTTCCAACAGGGAATCCTAGGTAATATATATTATGCTCTTATTCAGGATCTCAGAAAGGTTTTGTAGTTAGAACTATTTATTGCTTACAATGTGGCCCAACATAGAGAAGAATTATTGAGATTAAGTGTCGATATGATTTTTTTCATTTATTCTTTTTCAAAGACTTTCAGCTGCTTAAGTACAGTACAATGTTTACTTTTAGTCTATTTAGTTGTACTACAAGGAAACACACAGCAAATACTTACGCAGCCCCACACTATCATTTTTGCTGGTGTCACTTTTGCTTGGCTGTACAAGTGGAGCAAATGATACAGCAAGAATGTTTTTGCTTTCCCAAGTATTCTGTCCGGTTCTCAGGATCTGGGTTAGCTATATAGAATCATTGAAAATTAATGATATAAATTTAAGCTACATCAATATTTGTATTTGTATTTGTTTTTCATATATTGACCTTATTCTGACAGACTGAAAAAAAATATAGCTTACAATTTATGCACGTGAACGTGGGTAAATCTTAAGACTTGTGGGACCCATTTTGATAAAGGGTTGTGAGTTCCATTTTACTTCTTAAAAGCTCTTCCTATAAATCCAAAATTTGGCCAATAATCCCTGGTTTTCAGGGTTTTAGAAAGTGAATTGGATGTAGTTAGTCTTTGCGACTATTTTACTCCATCCTACCTACTCCCAAAAACCCTTCAAATAAAAAAGGATTTATTTTATTTTTGCTCCAATTGTTTGGTAATATGAAGGTATTACTGTCTTCATTTCATTTTCCCTTAAAAGGATAGAAAGACAGCTGCAGAAAAGTTGGCTGTAACAAGCCAATTTCAAACTTCATTTATGAAATCGAATAATCATAGCTATTATAGGATAATAATGTTCATACCACTCATAATGGGGTAGAGAAACATGCTAAATTACCATAAATGTCCTAACATCAGGAAAGGTTATACTTGTTAACCCTTTCAGCCAAATTCCATCAGTGATTATAGTCACAAGGATCATATTCTTTAATTATAGACATGCGCTTAGTAAGGCTACCCGCCATTTAGAAAGGGATATATTATTTGATATTTTCCAAATAATTTGAACTTCTGATTTCAAACTGCCCTAGCTATCTTTTATAATGCCAAGCAAATTGTAATCTAAAGTAAACAAAGGGTAAAAGTTGCTTCTATCTACGTTAGAATTTGGAGGAAATTGGGCTTCCGGCTGAATGATCGCAGGGCTCCGCACCCTACGGCTGATTTCTGTCTGCTAGGGGACCCTAAATGGGCCTGAAATTGCCCCATAGAGGTAACAAAGAAGGAATTCCTGCTGATTGCAGAAAGACAGCAGTCGATCCGATCGGTTTGGGAGAAGCCCTCCAGAAACCAACAGGAGAAAGGCGAGCTTAACTTCAGAGTATAGCCCATGCTACAAACAGCTGAGGCCCAAAAACACTACTTTAAACTGACTGTAAACAATGTGTTTGGAACTGGGTAAGAACAGTGATTTTCTCTCTTGAAAATTGATTTCCTGGGGGGGGGGAACCCTAGAATTTGGAGGAAATTTAAATTTAAAAAATTAAATTGGTGAAATTTATTAGTGTAAAAGTATGGTTTCCTGTTAAGCTATAAGTACTTAAAACTTAATTTATAACTGAAGCAGCCCCAGTTTCATCTTTTTTTTCTTTATAGTATTAGCTCATGAAAAATATCAGCCCAGGTGACTACAATCTCTTCTCTTCTTCACCTTAGTACATACATTGGGGAAAGAACCTATTGGATATAAGCAAAGTGGCAGCAATGTTTCCAGCTACTTCATCAATACTGGACTGACAGTGCAGATAGGTAGAGCTGTTATTCAGTTTCTGACTTTTGCCTCCCCAGTAACTGTCTCCATTTGCCTACTAATAAGTTTTGGGGACTCATCTGATAAACCAGGTACAAATAAAAGGTTTAAAATATCTCAATTTAAACAAAGTATTCAAAATTACAAATTAGTAACATCAATTTATTTTTAAACCGCAGTATTTCAACATGTTAACAGGCAGAAATAAGATTTATTTAAGAAAAGGAATGGGTGATTTCAGTGTCTAAGAAAATGGATCATTTAAATGCTGTTTTCCCAAGCTTTGTCTTTGGGGGAAGGGCCAAATTCATGGGTTACACAATATTGTATAATGGACTACATGTGTCAAAATTACATTTGCAAATTCACTAAATATCAACTATAGGTGGGCTAGAAGAACTGCCCTAAAAGATCAAACTGTGCTCAGCTAGAACATTTCTTGAAGACAAAAGGGGAAGAGAGAATTGGTTTTATTGTTGGTCCTCATTCTTCCATTTTACATTCTGTTTACAATACTGAGGCATCTGACAATAGAAAGATTAAGAATAATGTTATTAAAAAGGTGAAAGATTTATACAACTGACTTCTGGTACCGTGGATGCAGGAAGTCGAGCTCCATCTCTTGCATCCAAATTTGTTCTGCTGGGGGCCCCTGGAAAGAATCGAAAGTCACCCTGTAGGGATGATGAGCAAGGAGGGGACCCCCATTTGATCATGGGAGGGCAGAGGCCCTTCCATTTGATCTGGGGAAGCCCTCCAAACCGGCAAGGGAAAGACCAGCCATACCAATATGGCCCGTCATTAAGCTGCTGATAGCCGAAATCAAAATCACCACCAAGCACCTTTATAGCAACGCAGATGAAACTGGTAAGATCTGATCTTTAAGAGTTTAAGTATTTTTTTCCTGTAAAAGCTGCCCAAAGTACTTTTTCTTCCGTCAGAGAGAGGGAAGGGAATGTCTACCCCACCCTCTAAGAAAAGTGGTAACTAACTACCCAGGAGAAACAGAGCAACTGTTTGTTAAACAATTTTAATCTAATTGGATATATATTCTTTTGAAACTTGGGGACTAAAAGTGTTCCTTTTCTCATTGGAGACGTTTGTTTTTTATCTAAAAAAAGAAATAAGACTTGGAAAACTATCACAAAAAATTTGGACTTAAAAAGCTTTAAACGGCGTTGGTGACATCTTGTGGTGAAGTATGGTATTACAATTTGTTATTGCCTAAAAGAGACTTGGCTTAAAGCCGAGACTCCAGAAAAAATTTCCTTGACCTTGACAGATCACCTGTGAAAAACCCAGCTGCAAAGAAGGAACTTCTGGGCGGCATATCTGGCCTGTTTGAACTATGAATATAAACTTTTACTGACTTTCAGAGCTATACTTGGGGAATTGTTTTCCTATTTCTTTACATGAGAAGCATGTTATTATATGAGATGATGGAATACCTTGGACTATAAACTCTTACTTCACAAACAATTTCTATTATAAAGACCACCTATAACATGTGAAATAGCTGTCCCCTACCTAGCTACAAAAGACAAAAAAATATTTTTAACATTTGATTCTAAAGTCTTCAATTTAACATACTATCAAGACAATAAGGATGAAGATCAGGAAAAAATTCTTTCCATGTTGAAATCAATACATGAAACCATCCTTTCAGCTTGTGAAAAAATAAGATGCAACATAAAGGAACAAGATGCCAGCTTAAATATATAAACCCAGATCTTGACTACAACCAAAGAACTAACAATGCAGAAAATAACAGAAAAAATTGGAACAACTAAACACCAAGACAGAAGACCCAATTGACCAACAGACCCAGCCAACGGAAAAATTAGAAAAGGGAGTGACAACACCGAAACTGGAAAATACTTTTTACAAAAATCAGAAGAAATTTGAGGAAAAGGAAGAACAGATCAAATGGAAGATAAACCTATCAGGACAATTGTGGGAAATTGGAGTAATAGGGAGGCAATCTAATGAATACAAATGGGCTCATTCTTCCAAAAAATCTTCAACCAAATGGTCTTTCTTATTCCAAATAATATATATAATAATAGAGGGAGAACTATTTGATGACTCAAAGGCACTGACATGGAAGGTTAGTTGGCAAAGGAAGTCAGAGTAAGGCTGAAGAAAATAATGGCTTTGATTTATTAGAGTGGATATTATATTAATAACTAGAGGGTTGAATATGGTGGAAAATAGATAATTTTTAGAAAATAAAGTAACATTATAATTGAATAGATAAGATGTGTAACAAGACTATTAGACTTTGGTATGAAATGGGAAAAAGGGAGAAGCTGAGATAAGGGAAACTTTGGTTATCTAACATAAAATATTTGGAAATCATAAATAACAGTGTTCCCCCCCTTTTTTTGAATATTGATGGAAAATTAAAGTTTATGTATAGGCTAAAAAGTATTGATAAATGTAACAAGCATTTTTTTTACTTAGTTGAAAATAAGAATTCAGATATTACTACAAAAAGGTTTTGACTTATTAGAGGGGATACTGTATTACTAATTAGATGGTTTAAATATGGTGGAAAATACATAACTTTTAGATATCTATTTAGAATATTAGACTTTGTTATGAAAAGGGAAAAAGGAAGAAGTTGAGATAAGGGAAACTTTGGTTACCTAAATATAAAATGCTTGGAAATCATAAATAACAAATGTTAATTTGAATATTGATGGGAAATTAAAGCTTGAGAAAAAAGCATTAACAGGACATTGATTATATATAAGGACTGAATGCAAACATAATTAAGATATGTATAAGCTAAAAATGGATAAATGTAACAAAGATGTTTTTATTTAGTTGATAATAGTAAGAACTGTATTAGCCTAATATGAGATATTAAGGGAAAAAGAGAGGAAATATCTTGAGATTTATACTAAAGACTTATGTACCGTATATGCCGGCGTATTAGGCGACCCGGCGTATAAGACGACCCCCATCTTTATAGCCGGGCCACATTCCTAGAACGTCGTCTTATACGCCGGAAACTACCAGTATTTCCGGCGTATAAGATGACTCGGCATATAAGACGACTCCCGTCTTTGGCGCCGATTCAGTGCTCGCGGAAGTCGTCTTATACGCCGGCATTTACGGTATGTTATTGAACTATTGATTAACCCAGTCACCACATTGCTTTTTAAATACTTAATTGTAAAATGAAAAAATAAAATATTATATAAAAAATAATGTTATTTAAATATAACAAAGGAAATATAAATATTTTAAAAAATGTTTAAATCACCTGATCTTCTATAGGCATAACCAGAATGCCTCCAATTTTCAATAAAATTTTCATGTAGTTTTCATGGTCTTTTTGCACACCTGCTCCACAATAAATCCGGTCATACTGATGACTGTCTGAGGCTATCTGCAAGCAATTTCCAATACAAATGCAGGTTCACAAAATTCAAATCTGTGGATAAGCAAACATTTCATTTTTTAAAAAGAAAAATTAGAAAAACAATATAAACATTTGCTGAAACTGATACTGAATTCATTGAAATACTCTGCAATTAAACACGCAACCAAATTTTTTTATGTTCTATATCTTTACTTGATTAAAATATAAAGTTGAACGTGCTTTAGTATTGTTTAAATAATGTGCTATTTGTTACTAAATATTTTGCAATTTAAAATAAAAGAATATAAAATATGGATTTTTTTAAAAAAATAAGAAAATAAAATACATTACAAAAATATGTTGCCATTCCTATAAAGAAAATCAGGGTGAAAAGATGGATCTTCAATATACACCTAAATGAACATCTGCAAGGAGAATATTCTGAATAAAAGGTATGGCTCAGAAGGCACATCAGAATGACAATCTACTGATTTATGGCATCCACAGTAGGATCTCCCTAGGCCACAGGTCGGCAACCTGCGGCTCCGGAGCCGCATGCGGCTCTTTGAGCCTTCCCCTGTGGCTCCCAGCCTCCTCTGCCTTTGCAGAGAGAGACAGAGACAGAGAGAGGCAATTGCACTTCCCTGCTTCTCTCTCTCTCTCTCTCTCTCTCTCTCTCTCTCTCTCTCTCTGTGTGTGTGTGTCTGTGTGTGTGTAAAAGAGAGTGCACTCACAGTGTTCTCCGAGGAGCTGAAAAGCTTTCTGGGCGGAGCTCCTCCCTTTGCTGCGTCTCTGCAGGAAGCAGGAAGCAGGAAGGGCAGGAGAGAGCTAGCTAGCCCAGCTAGGCTGACTCAGGAATTCTGGGAGTTGAAGTCCATGAGTCATAAAAGAGACGAGGTTGCCTACCCCGGAGGTTGTTGGACAACAGCTTGAAGCTTGCCAGGTGAGCAGCAGATAGGAGGGGGGGGAGAAAGAGAGAGAGAGAAAGAGAGAGAGAGGGAGAGAGATGGGGGAAGAGGAGTGGCAGACCAAGGGCAGATAGAGAGGGAGGGAGAGAGAGACCCTTTTGACATCTAAAATGAAGATAACACTGCATATATCCTTTTTTTACCTCTGTGTGTATGTAATTTTATTCTCTTAAAGCATTCTCTTGGTGATCATTGTTTTAATAGTATGGATATTCCCAAGAGTCATATTTTTACTTTTATTTTTAATGTGTGTGTGTGTGTGTGTGTACATACATACATATATATACATATATATATATATATATATATATATATATATATATATATATATATATATACACACACACACAACACATACACATACACACACACACACACACACACACACACACCTATAATAAAGGTAAAAAAGGATATATGCAGTGTTATCTTCATTTTAGATATCAAAAGGGTTTTGCGGCTCCCAGTGTTTTGTTTTTGGTGGGAAACGGGTCCAAGTGGCTCTTTGAGTGTTTTGGGTTGCCTACCCCTGCCCTAGGCAATCCTAGCAACCATGCAAGTTTATAACAGGGAAGATAATCTGCTAGGTAACTCAGTGTGAAGTTATTCCGTGCTTAATATGCCAATTACAAAGTGTTTATCCCAGTAGCTAATGTGCAAACAGTGCAGCTTGCTTTATTATATAAATAACATGGTTATGGTCAGATCCCCCTTCAAAAGCTTGGCCTTACCTCCCAGGCTAGAACACAAATGTAGAACATATTTTAATCATCATAATGGTTATCTTAGTCTAGGAAAAACTTAGTAAGCCAACAAAAGTTAGATAATGACAAGCCTCAAAAATTAAAATTATCTCTTATTCCAGAACAGGCAGTGCACTGAACATCTCATAAATTCTTATGTGAAAAGCAATATGCAAGGTGGCATGAAACTAAATTATCTTGTAGTAGATGCTTTATAAAATTGTTAACACAAGCTAAAGATGAAAGTGATATCACTACTATTTCAAAACTTTCTTATAAGAGTCAATATACTTATTTCAGTCTATGGGTAGTGAGAATTATAGCATTTACAGGAATTATAAGACATCCAAAACATTTGATGCTTTTAGCTGCCTCTTTCTCAATTTTGAAACCACTTAATCATTTATACATTTATTTTTACTTCCAAAAATTGCAATACTAGAAGGTAATGATCCTAAATTACCTTAACAGAGGAACACTGGTGCAAACAGTACATTCAAAAATGATGGCATTCCCAGTATTGATGCATATACTGAAAGCATTTTTAATGAATAACATTAAAATCTCATAGCTTCTAAAAAATTAATGCATTAATGACCTGTTAGCTTGTCTTATCATGCTGCCCTATGTATAACACTGCCAGAATTAAATTACTGTCTCTCCTTGGAATTGATCCCTCTGGTTCTAATGTTAGTAATTTGGTCTTATATTGTCTAGGGGATGACTCCTCCTATATTACTTCTCAGGTTTCTAAATTTCTTTTAAGAGCTGTAACTATTAGAGGAGAAGGTTGTAATTCCCTTTAGCCAAGGCTTCTGGTGTTAACTGTTTGTGATTGTATTTTTCTTGTGTTTTCTTTTGTTGCACTTGCATTTTGGTCTGTGACTGTAAAATAAAAATTATTATTATTAATGCATTAATGACCTGTTAGCATAACAACTATTTTCAGAACTATGTTCTATACATATCTAGCAAACATGGAAATCTAATACCCTAATATCAGTATTTGAAAAGTATGATAAAAACTCAGTTTTATGGAGTATTTGGAGGGAATTGGTATCAGCAAAAAATATCATGAATCATCATGGCTGGTCATAAAGCTGATGCGCCTAACATGCAGTCACATGACCAGGGGCCCCATGACCATTTATGTTAGCCAGGAGTGCTTTCTAGGCTGTAAAGCACCTGTTTTGTGGTCATTAAACAAGGACTACCTCATATTGTAACTGTATTGTGTTGCAAATATACAGAATACCCATATTTACCATGGATATAATTTAAAGTTCAGCATATTATATTTATTCATTTCAGTGTGAAGTCTGCTAAATTAAGGATGCATTAAAGAGATGGTGACAAATGAGATATTTGCATCTGGTTGCTTCTTCCTTAGCTTAAGGAAATATTTTCCTGAAACTGCACGGTTCCTATGCAAGCCTAAGAAAAGTCATGGTTTCTTTAGATAATTGCTATCTAGTATAGAAAACACACTTATGCTAAATCCAAATAGCTGCACAGACATGCTTCCAAACTATGGAATGACCTTTCTTAGAGATTGTATTTAGTTCCTATTCTTTCAGATTTTATGAAATGATCAAATCTTTCTGTTTAGCCAGAATTTTTCAATCTAAATGAGTTGTTTCAACTATTCATATTTTATTTTCCCTATTGGAGCAGGCATGCTGCACTTCTAAACTGAGATCATCAGTAGAGGTGTCTGGAATGTTGGATGGTTGATACAGAACTTGTCTGCAACAAAGCTCCTACTTTATCTCCACATGGTTGTCTTCTGCAGACAGCACAGTCCTGGAAAATGACAAGTTTGGTTTAAGGAACCACAGTGAGATGCTCAGTATAGAGTTCTGTGTGCTATAAGACACCTTTTTACTTCTGAATTTCAAGCACTGCATAATTCTACTTAGTTTACAGTGATCTCTAGGTAGAAATACAGGAAAGAATCACCATTATCATCATTTTGTGCATGCAGTGAAGATACATTTTACTGTGTACAGGTAAACTAAGTACCCTTGTATCACAGTACATTTCCACAATGTGCTTAATGGCAAACAGTACAGATATCAGATGATATATTCAGAATTTATAATAGAGAAGCAATATTAGTACAAGAAATTTATCAGGCATAAACCTCCATCAACCAACTGTGCTGATGATTAAATTGGTTCATGTTATAATGTAAATCAACCCTCTCACAATACAAAGCACAGATGTTAAGCAAATTAACGTCATATCCTCAGTAAACTTTTTTTCTTTCATAAAAAAATTCAAAAGAGTGACAACAGAAGAAAAACAACACTTCCTTTCAACACTGAAGATAAAATTCCTTGTTGGGAATTGTTCTGCATTGTGGTATTTGGTGTTTTATTAGATTTAACAACTATAAATCTGTTTGAAGGATTGCTTCAAATATGACTCCAATATTCGCCAGTCACATGCATCAGATGTGATCATGATTGGAACCTTGCAACCCCTTAAGATCTTTTGCAATGCTTCTATTGGGAGTTGAATGCTGCATATGGCCTCTGCAATCAGAAAAGTAATCTAGGCAAATACACTTATGTATTCAGCGAAATACGTTGAGACATATTAATGGAAAATAATGATTTGCTGTGGGGAAGACAAAAGACCAATTATAATCAGCTGGAGTTAGGCCACTGGGTAAAACAGAATTGATTATTGTCCAATAAAGAAATCAGACAAAAACCCAAGAAAATTTGTGTTAATATAAGGACACAAATTTATGCTCCAAAGGCTGATTAGAAATGAGTGGATTCTCCTGCATCTTCCTCCCATGGTGTATCTGTATCCAGCTTTCTACGTAACTGTGCACTCTTACGGATTATGCAACTACACAATGAATGTTCTTCCAAAGCCCCTGAAATTCCCATGATAGTGGAAATGAGCCATTATACAAATCTGTAGTTAACACAAATGAAAACAAGATATTAGATGTTTTTAAACATTCTTTTTCTTCATGATCAAGGAAACAGTATAGAGTTAGATATAGCATCTATGAGAGCTACTTGGCAAATCAGGTTGACTTTAGAATTCACACCAGTTAGTGCCACATAGTCAGACCTTCCCACATGCTTGCTTTTGGCTTTAGACAGTAGTGGGATTCAGCCAGTTCGCACCACTTCAGCAGAACCGGTAACTATTTTTTTTTTTTGCCCAGGTCCAGAATGGACTCCTGGAAGCAGCATCCACAAAGAGAACCAGTTGTTCATATATTTGAATCCTAACACTCGCTTTAGAATGATGTAACATAGTTAAGACTAAAAGTTAATACTAAAACATATCTAAGTTCGTGCTGTGTTTGAAAATACAAAAAGTAACAAAATAAATG